GCTCCCCACAATTTGATAATTTGATGGACCTAGTAGTGGTAGGTAGGTAGTGAAAGGCAGAAATAATTTGAGAGAAGAATCTGGTGTAGTTAAAATAATAATAATGATAATAATTATTTGATGGACCCTCCAAATCACCGATCCCGCCTTGTCGCCAAGCGCGCATATCTCATTCTTGTGGCTGCAATCATTTCTGCAACGCCGGAGCTCGCCCGTACATATATATGCATATATATAAAATATATTTAGTATATAAGACAAATAATATAAGATTATATATTTGTTTATTTATGTTTCCCCAAAAATGATGCTCCGATCAATTTGGTGTCCCCCTCCGATCAGCGATCGTTCCTTGTCCCGACGCTCCCGTACCTCGTTCTTGCGCCTGCAATCAATTCAGCAACGCCGACTTTACATGGATAGAAGACCCCCTCGCCGACTTTACATGGGTAGAAGACCCCCTCACCGACTTTACATGGGTAGAAGGCCCCCTCGCCTTGCCTCTCAATAGAGTCAATACACAGGTATCGCGAGGGTATTTTTCTCAACGAGTGACAATAAACTCCCGCTGAGTCGGCGCTGACCATAGATGGGCAGTTAGTAACTTGTAGTATTTCATCATTCGCATTGAATTTCGTATAATATATTATTCAACAGGATGGATTCAAACTCTCGTCCGCCACAGATTCTTTTTTTTTTTTTTTTTTTTCCGACGAACCACCACAGATTTGTAGCTCTGTAGGCATCCACGCTTCAAAAAAAAAGATAAGGAAAAACGATAACTCAGTGCTCAGTGCTCACCCAAAAAGAAATGAAGCCTGACGAGAGTTTGCGTTCCATCCAGATTGCTGTTTGTTGATCCACCTCTCCCTCTCCTTCACCGCGCAGAAAAAAATTAAAGCCTTTGCCAAGCAAACGAAAGCCTTTGCCTTTGCCTTTGACTCCACTGATGAGAGTTCGAGCTCCACGGTGACCAGCTTGCTGTTTGTTGATTCACCTCGCCCTCTCCTTCGCCGAGCAGAATAAAGTCTTTACCGAGCAAAATAAATCCTTGGCCTTTGCCTCCACGGACGAGAGTTCGAGTTCCATCCAGCGACACGGTGGTGCGTGTTCATCCACCTCTCCCTTTTCTTCGCCGAGCAGAATAGAGCCTTCGCCGAGCAGAATAGTGCCTTCGCCGAGCAAAAAAAAGCCTTCGCCTTAAAGTTTTGCCTTTGCGTCCACCAACGAGAGTTCGTGTTCCATCCAGCTTGCTGTTTTCTCATCCACCTCTCCCTCTTCTTCGCCGAGCAGATAAAGCCTTTGCCTTTGCCTCCGCCTTCCAACAATTATAATCCCCTTTACTCTCCCTCTTCTTTGCTGAGCAGAATAGAGTTTTCGCCGAGCAGAATAGAGCCTTCGCCTTTGCCTTTGCCTTTGCCTCCACAGACGAGAGTTCGCATTCCATCCAGCTTGCTGGTTGCTCATCCACCTCTCCCTCTTCTTCGCCGAGCAGAATAAAGCCTTTGCCTTTGCCTCCGCCTTCCACCAATTATCCCCTTTGAGTTTCATCCAGCTTGCGGCTTGTTCATGCACCTCCCACTTCTTCGCCGAGCAGAATAAAGCCTTTGCCTTTGCCTTTGGCTTTCCCCGCATCTTGCAGTCAATGACGGATGGACGAGTGCACCCGGCACATCATTGAATGACGAAGACATAACCTCAATAGCTTATGCTCGAAAATCCCTAAACATGCGGTGAGCATCTCGGAGCATACTAAATGAACGTGGACCTCTTAGTTGGTCCGATACGTTCGAAGGGAAGGAGCGAGGCCCATGCACACTCCTCTTCCCTTCTTCAAACCTACACCTTCTACAACACTGGATAACTAAGGGCCCCGCTCCACTACACAGCATACTAAAAGTATCTGGACGTGTCAGAGGTCCAATACATTCAAAATATTCCATCAGTCAAAATGTATGTAGTCTAGTTTCCAATCCGGATACTTGCAGAATGTTGAGCAGTGGAACGAGACACTAAGTCTTCTTCTCTTGCCTACCCTAACTTCTTTGCTTCTCTCGCCCCGCTTCTTCTTCTTTTTTTTTTCTTTTTTTTTTCCCAACAATCGCGCTCGTACGGCTTGTTACAGAGCCGGCACTTCACACGCTAGCGATCGAGCAAAGAGTATTGATTAAAGAAAACGGCAGACGAGAGAATAAAATTCAATAAACCAATATCCTAGTCAAAAAATAATAATAATAATACATTGATATTCTACTAAATAATTCGAGTCATCAGCCCTTCCTTACTCTTCTAGATCCGCCTCTCCTCTGCTTCAAGTCCTTGGCTTTCAGCAAGAGTAGCCTTTGAACAGTCGATGAAGAATCTATATTCTAATCATCAGCAAGAGTAGCCTTCATCATCACCATCGACTCTCCTTAACTTTCAAGCACCATATATTTGCTCGCCGCTTCTCCTCTGTCCTCTTTCCTCCCACTCCGCCCTCCTCCTACACCTCCTACTCCGCCCTCCTCCTACACCTCTCCCGCTCCACCCTCCTCCTCCGCCGCCGCCGCCGCTCTCCTCCTCCTCCGCCCTCCGCTAGTTGCTCCCTGCTTTTCCTCTATAGTGTTTCCTCCTTTTCGGTCTCCCTCCACCTCCTCATCCTCCGCCCTCCTCTCCTCCTCGTCCTTCCTCCTCGCCCTCCTCCTACTACTACTATTGCTACATCCGCTTATAATTCTCGAACCGTTTTCTTTCAGTCCTCCCCGTCTTGTTTCGCTCCCCCTCCTCCTCCTCCTCCTCCTCCTCCTCCTCCTCCCTCTCAAACCGTGTTCTTTTGCTTGTCTCCCCTTCTTCTCATGTCTCATCTCACTCCTCCTCCTCCTCCTCCTCCTCCTTTCTTCCTTCACTACTATGTTCTTTCCCTCCTCTTCTCTTCTCCTTCCATTCCTGCCTTGTGTCTTCCGACACTTAGTCGCTCTCGTTTGATAAGAAGCTAGCAGCGCTTGCTGACATTTTGGTTTAATAAGAAAGCAAAAAAACAGACTCGGATAAGAATGACGTGCCACGCTGAAGATCAGAATAATTTAAAACGATATGGACGAGCTAAGGCGGGTGAAGAACTGAAAGGAAACAAATCAATAGTTAGTTATCCAGCAGATCACACAGCATATACGTGCCGCACGCCATCGGCCCGTAGCTCCCTCTCTCAGTCATTTCCAACGGTCACCTATCATCTAAATTCGCATTGAAAGAAAAAAAAAAAAGAGACAGACAAGGATGACGCACACAAGATTAGGGTACTGATTCATAGGTCAGTTATACAGAATGGAAAGCGTTCACCTGCACGCACATACAAGCGTGCAGAAGAGGGAGAAATCGATAGAAATAGATGTTTGCGGATAACTATATCGCGCGCGCGCACAGACACACACACACACACACACACACACAGATAGGTGTCTAAAGATATCTATTTTTAGATACAGAGAGAGAGAGAGAGAGAGAGAGAGAGAGAGAGAGAGAGAGAGAGAGAGAGAGAGAGAGTTGATGCAGATAGGTGTCTAGAGATAGCTATTTTTAGATATAGACACACACACACACACACACAGAGAGAGAGAGAGAGAGAGAGAGAGAGAGAGAGAGAGAGAGAGAGAGAGAGA